TTCCACAAACGACAAACCCAGTGGTTCCCAAGTCAGGCTGTAGATGCAGTCCAGAAGAAGGGTGTGAAAGAGAACACGACTTCTACTTTGGCAGGTCCTGGGCTCTTGGGTCTACTGGCTAGATCCATTCTCTTCCTTTCACTTGGGGTTGGAAGGATGCAGCATTCCAGCATCACATTATACTAAAGTACATCCTCATCATAGCTGTTAATATGACCAGTGTTGCCTCTTAGCAACAGGTTTGGTTTAAGACTATTCTTCTGGAGTTCCTCTTATTCCTTACCACTTATTCCTCTGCTCTGCAGCTAGCTGGATATCTGAGAGTACCGTGTCCAAATCTGGGTTTTTGTTTGTAGCCGTGATGGTCTAAGGACATAGGCAGGCAAAGTTCTTTGGGTAGATGTGATATCTTTTATTAGACCAATTGACATTCCTCCACACTTTTAGCTTCCTTGGAGTCTCAGACCAGCAGAACCTCTGTATGCCTGATGAAGGGCGACTGCGCCCAAAACACTTGCTAAGAACATTTCTCCAACTACTCAATTGGTCTAATAAAAGATATCACATCTACCCAAAGAACCTTGTCAAAATCTGACAATTGTCACTGATGAATTTAGTGAACTCTGTTTATCGGATTACATCTAATGGCCAACTTGTGAATGCAGACATGGATTATTAACTCCTGAGCCCTTCTGTAAACCTAAATGTACTGTTTAACAAACACGTGAACAAATGTTGGGAATCCTGCAGCAATGACAGCTGTGCAGTGCTGTTATGTTTGGCTGCATATCATTTTGTAGCAAGATGTGCCAGGCTGTGATCCAAATGATTGCTTGTTAAATAAAAGGAAAGGAAAGAAATGCAGTAGCTTAATTGCTTAGAACAAAAATGGCATGTTATTTCTCTTTATGGAATCCACTGTGATGTCAGTGTCCCTAGGGATTGCTTGCTCATGTGGTATATCAAATTAAATGGCTCCTGTTAAATGGCCACATATGTTAGCAGTGTCTGTGGAAAATGAAGGTGTATGTATCGTTTGCCAAATACATATAGAATACCGTTCTTTATTGTGCAGTTTCACAGAGCCAGAATTTAGAGCCTGGTCAGTAGAATGCCAGGTTCCTTGAATGTAGTTACCGATGGTAGATTTGGAAATGCTTTATATCCATTTTGCCTCATGCCACTTAGTTCTTACAGTATTGTTTGCCTAATATACTAACCTAACTTTCTGCGGGTTTTATTTAGGAATCTCCTGTTCCTTTATTTTTAGCTCTCGTCTGTTTTACAACTTTATTTTGGGCTAGCCTCCAGTTTTGTTCAGCTGGCAGACTGTTGCACACCTGATTCATTAAGAGTACCAGCTTGGTATGCAAAGGCTTGTGTACTGTTGTAGAATGTTGTGACTTAGCATGTAGATAGGTTAACAATAGATTTGATGTCCTTATTTGATTTCATCATTCATACACGGAAGCTAAGCAGTGCATGGCTAAATGTTATAACAATGGACATTTGCAGCAGGTTTTTTGAAAGAGCAGCTTGCTGTCAAGGTCTTGTTTTGTTTCCTATGCACCTGCTTCCCTGGATTGAACTCAAGTGTATTGTTTTGATTTGGTCATTTTAGCAAAACAGTAAATGAAATTGCAGACATTTCATGTCACTGAGGAAGTTGAAAGCAGAGAACTTAACTCTTGAGATATTGTATTTTCTTAGGCTTAATATTAAGTCTGGTTAATTTCTGCTAATTGGGGAAGCAGTTTGTGTATTTGTCTCATCCTTTCACTGGCTCAGGCCTCTGCTCATGCTTCTCCCCTTCCTGCCCTCCTCTCTTTTTCTTTTTCTGTTGAATATGCTGACCTGCAGCCCCATCCTGTCATTCCATCTCGCCATTCCCAGCCATCTTGCTTGGGATTAAGATATAGAAATGTCCAATTCTTCCTCTGCATGCTCAGTTTTAGATACTGTCCCTCCAGTCACATAAAGTCTACATAACCTGAACGATTTTTTGTGGTATCTATATTTCATCCATTCTTACAGAAGGCCAGGCTTCTGATCATTCAGCCAATAACAGCTTAAGCTGATTGAGAGAGAGAGCCACCCCAGGAAATTTGTTCAGCTCACTGGTTCAATGGGAGTGGCTTCTTTGTTTGACAGATGCGTCCAAAAGGAGCCTGGTCAGAGAATTACATTGCTGTGATCTTTTCTGTGGGATGTGGTCATAGATAACGGGTGTCTTTCTTCCTGGCTCCTGCTAACGCTCATGCACTCATCCTTCCCCTTTGCCTGTGGCTGAATTGCAGCTTTCTTCACTCAGTATTTTAGTTCACTCAACCTCATTACTTGATACTCTGAAATATTTTTTTTCGGTTTGCTCAGTGTTCTGGTATTCTGGGTGCATCTCTCTCTTTTATTGGTGAGGTGTCTTGTTTTTTTACTGCTAGAGTACAGTAGATTCTTCCCTTCAGATCATATCAGTAGTAAGAGCAAGTCGTGTGTCAGATTCATCCGTGTTTCATGTATTCTGCTAGCTTCCACCCTTCCTGATGTTTAGTTTCCTGCTTAAGTTTTTTTCCAAAATCTGGCTTTTAAACTTGCTCAATTCTTCTGGCAGGGAGTGACTTTTTTTACATCTGAAACATCCCAGCCACTCCTAACCAAGTGATCTTGAATACATCCTTTCCACCCAGCTGGGAAGTTTGTCCCAGGGCCTTGCATTTGAAGCTTCAGTGTGGTAATATGATTGTGAATGAATTGTATATTCACATATATATTTAACCTTGTCCTGAAAAAGTCCCAAACAAAAGGATATAAACTAGGTTTGTGCCTTTGGAAAAATACTTCATAATGTACGAAGAAGGCATAAAAGGATTTCCTTTTAAAAAAAATGGTAATTTTATCTTTTCAGTCATCAGGACAGTCCAGCTCCTGTCTTATCTGTTTTTCTAGTGTCTCAGTGACCTAGAAGTATAGATTAAAATAATAGAACTACAGGACTTGCTTTAATGAACAGAACTTTGAATCTTTAAAGAAGTGGGTTTTTTCATTTTTGTTTTTCTTTGCTTTGTATTTGAATGAAATACATAAAAGCAAGCAATCAAAAAAACCACCAACACACCAAACCCGCAAAGGTTGTATTGGAGAAACTGAACAAAACTAACTTGCTCTCTGAATTAATTGGGTTTTATGAGCATTATTTTCTATAATTCATACAAAGAAAAAAGGGCACCGACCTGGGGGAGGTCGGGGGCTCATCTTTTGTTGATGACCCATATAGCATAGTTACAAACAAACAACAAATAATGTCTCTCTCTTTGGGTTTTCCATCCCTAGTGACAATCCACTTTCACTGTCCTACAGTACCATGAGGCTAAATTTGTTAAGCTGTCCTCTTGGAAACTGTTTGTATTTTGGGTGCCAGAGTTCAAAATAACCATAAGCTTACTGAAGTAATTGCAAGACAAACCAGTGCTGAAACTTGGAACAAAAGCAATCCTTGAGCAGAGGCAAGTGAATCATCAGTGCCAAAGTAGAGGGAGCATTGGTTCTGTAGTGTGCCAGGTGCCTAAGAGCCCTGTTGCCTGGAGCACCCCAGGTGCTAGGAAGCCCCAGTGCCTGGAGTGCAAAGTCTGCAATGTCTGTCCACACCCTAGAAGTGCCAACTGTTTGAATCGGCATTGATTGTCACTGACTAGAAGATTCCTTGGCCTGGATGTCAGATGAAGTGGGCAGTGCTTGTTAGAGGCTATATTATTTGGCCTATGTCATTCCATAACACTGCTGGCTTCATATGCAGGGCAATGATAATAATGAAATAACTAGCTCAGATTGTAGGTCAAGACAATGAAAAAGTTAATCTCAGTTTTTATTGAAAGAATGAACTTGTGTGTGTGTGATCTGTTTACTCACCCCAAGTTGCAAATGCAAGTCTCGTGCAATGGAAGTGTTGCACAAACCCAGTTCTTCACATGCTACAGTGGCGATCAGTTGTGTTAAGCCAGCCACCTCTGTTTCCTGACTTGTAATATGTCAAACTTGCCTGTGGTTCAATGTAATCAACATCAAGTGCAAAATGCCTTTTAATTTTTTTTTGCATAAGACTCTTTTTTTATGTGCTTCCAGGTAAAAGGAGCAGAATTGCGTTCAGACACCTCTCCTCATGTTCTGTGCACCAAAACCTAACCAAACAATGTTTACACAGGTGGAGTCACTTGAGCGTGATCAGAAGCTCACTAGTTCATTAGTTTTAGCACATCTTGGTCAGCTTTATTTAGATTCTTCACAGAAATTGCACCATATCACTGATTCCTTAAATTACAGCTATCAGATTCTACTCTTTAGGAATCTAAAACATTTTTCAAGTCAGTAGCTCAAGACAGAGACACAGTTATACTCGGAGAATATCATGCTTGTGGCTTTATCCACTTTTTTTTCTTTTTTCAGTTGTACCAAATCCCATAAATTATATGCCATTTGTTTGCTGTAGCAAACCTTACAATCAACTCCATGTCAGTTAATTAAACATCTTGGAATACGCTTAAATAGAACCTAGTGGTTGCTGCTTTGGTTCAGAGTGAAAGGGGCATGCAGTTCTACTGGGGTTTTTTTGGAAGTAGAAAGGAGTCCCTTTTTTTCTGGAATAGGTACAAAGTTAACATGCTCTGGTACATTTAGCATGTCCCATTTCCTGAAATGGGACATGTTAACTATATCTGGCCAGTTTTAAAACAAGAACAGTCATTTACACTCTCCAGTATTGTCTTCCTTTTCGCAATCACCTCAGTAATTTAGAAAGAATGTATTGATTTTAAAAAAAGTAAATTGCAACTACGTAGCTTAGTATTTTTTTGAATTGTTCTCTACCAGCTTTTCTATTAGCATTATCTTTCATTTTTCTGTTAAACTGAGAATGCTCCATCCCAATGAGTTGGTTTGTATCTTAGTAATAGACATTTCTGGATTGGAACCTTCAATGGAAAAATAAACTTTTACATTCTTTCTTGCAGGGCTTCTGGGATAACCAAGGAGTAAATCATCAGATTATTTTGCGCCTCTTGCATTATATCATCCGCCTCATTTGGAGAAGACAGTGATTGACACTGACTCTGGATGCTCTGAGATTTGTTTACTTGTCAGAACCCAGGAGGAGCGCATGCTAATAATGCATTTGAGAAATCCTCCTTTTTCTTAAAGAACATCACATATTGGAAGGAGCAGTGGGACTCCATGCTTGTAAAAACATGCACATGGACCTATAGTTTTGTCTGCTGTCGGACAAAACAGGGAGTTCACTGTGAAGAAGCAGAAATGAACTGTGGAAATGGACATATTTGAACTTCCTGAAGCAGAATTTCTCTTGCAAGTGTTGTTTACGCTGGTTTTCCTTGAACTTTTTATGGACTGAGATTAAGGAAAATATTCAACCATTATTGAATGATTTTCCTGCTCACTTCTGGAAACTGGTGGGCTGATCTGCATCATGCTGCGGCGGACTTAACTGAGCCAGCTGACTTGCAGAGCTGCCTCAGTTTATTTTATAAAATTGCTGTACAGCTTTCTTGCTCCAGCAAGGAGAGGTCAGACTTAAAATAGGTTCTCTCTGTTCATTCGCTGATCACTTTCATTCAAAAGAATGAAGGGATTTGCATCGGCTCTCCATAATCCTGCAGGTCACTTAACACCTCTTTAAATTCAACTGCACTTGTGTGGCATAAACAGCATGTGCCCTGCTAACTTCAGGCTGCAGTCAAGCACAGCTGGAGCTCTCCTGCCATGAGCTGTCCACCTCCACCAGCTTAGAAACCAGAATCTTGAAGTTGATCTGAAATTTGAGGCATAAATGTAAAAATGTCATGGTCCCAAAACACACCAGGTTGCCTTTCTTAAAGTTCTTTATATAAAGTGTGTATGGATACATTTATGTATTATAATATATTAATGTTTGAGATGTGGAATGATTAAAGCAATAACATATTCTGTGTGTGGGCCTAAACAGACCCAATACACTGCAGTCTTACCCAAAAGTGAAGGGTCCTACTGCATAATTTCAGGAAATATTTGAAACCTCACTCTATTTTACAGTTATTGTTGATAAAACCCAGTTGATGGTGTTCGGGTGTCTAAAACATTTTGGATTTGTGCTGAAGGCATGTTTTGAAGAGAGGTGAGGAACAAACAGCTATAATGGTTGAATGCATGGACTACTGACTTTACTGCTTTGGTGTGAGGACCAAAAGTGGAATATCTGCAGTGATCATGGTGGTTCAAAGTCCAAAAGGTTAATAAGTAGATATCCAACAGGAACAAAAGTTCTATCATTTTGAAAGATGCTACTGTTCACAGCAGAATTCCCACATAAGGTTTTAAAATGGTACATACTTGTAAGACCACTCATAGTATACATACACGGTAGAGAATTGATTATATTCTTCACAAGACACAAGTGTTGAGGATGAACATGCAAGAGAATGAAGTTGACATAAGATTCCTGGACCTGGCATCCCTATTCACTGGATATGGGGAGGTGTTCAGCACAGACATAAGATTTAGCATATTTTTCCTTTAGTTAGACATTTTTTGTGTGGAGTGCTCCATTAGTACGCCCCAATAGTTTGCAGAAGTTATTCCGAAATGATACATCTGTGATGCCATGAGTGGCAAGAGCTGGCATTTGTGATATAACAGAATGATGCATTTGATTACAACTTAAGTGAACTAGGAAGTAAAAGGAAGATTTCATAAAAAGGAAAAGCTTTAATTTTGGGGGTGGAGGGGAAGTCAGAGGGAGGCAAGTTAAAACATGTGCTGAACACCACCCAGAACTTGCTGAGTGGGCATTGTAGCCACAAATCTAGACTAAATTGAATTTTATTCTTTTGTTTTGTGGTTCACCTCTTAATGCAACAGGAAACTGTATGACAGGTGCTCGAGGGCTATGTAGTTCCTTTATACAGAGGGTGTGCATTTATGCATAAATTTGCCCTAGTCTGTCTTCAGGTTTGTCTGTCATCTTGGCGACCAGTGCCAAGAGCCTGCATGAGTGATTCATTCGGTTCCTGTTTGCTGCAGTCTACTTCAGAAGGCCACAGATTTTCTGGTTTCATCAACACCATAGAAAGAATGGGATAGCTATTTTTCCAAAATGTTGCAATATATTTATCAGGAGAAGCCATTGTATGTGTATATATTTTTAAAAATTGTAATGAGTTTGTATAATATGTACTCTATGCACTGGCCGCCAGTGCCTATCTGTGCTAGGTAAAAGGTTTCTAGTCCAGACATGGCTCTGCTAGCAGACTCCAGAGTGCAGTGAATCAAGAGGGTAGAAACACACTTTGGCTTTGTAGGTCAAGGCTGTTAGCTTCAATTATCAAAGCAATGGGTGTATTTGATACTTTTTAAGTTTTTGAGGGAAGTGATCTTTTCAAATATCTGGAGTTTCAGAGGCAGAACTCTAGAGGTCCTAATCGGAGATTATCATCCATATTACTGGGTGGGGGAGGATATAAATTCATTGCTCTTCCATTTTGAACACTGCTTACACATTGGGGTCTCATAGCCATTATAAGGATTAGTAAGAAGTCAGGTTTTCCAAAAACAAGAGATTGTGGTTATCTTCTGAACTTCAAACCATTAGATATAATCATCTAGTTCCAGCTATTACTGTCTTGAAACTTCCTTAGTTAAGACCACATTATTCACTGGGTTTCCATGATGAACTGAAGTAAACAGGCTTGAAACTTTTATTTACAATATGTATCTTTCTGAACATACCAAAGAAACTGTTTTCAGTACATGTGCTTCTATGGTTGGAACACTTCTGAAGTTCTTTTTTTAAATATAGAGTCTTCAGAAACGTCAGCATAATTTCTCCCCGTGATTTTTGCCCTTTCTCCTCTGCCTCCATCACCCTGAGTCTCACATGCTCCCCTTCAGTGAGGCTCTGCTGGCCCAGTGCCTGGAGACTTTTGTGTGCTTTCTTGCATATTTACCTCTGGCATGGTATTGCAACAGGTTTGCCTCTACACTGTGGCTTCAAACTAGCTAGCTTCCTGTAAACCCTACAAATAATCTTAAGGGCTGCTTGCAGACATTAAAAAGAACTCTGCCCCCCAAACTTGACATACTTCAGTGCCGAGCCCAGCACATGCCCAGAAGAAGCAGTGCATTAGTTGGACCCAACTTGCCCAGTGTCTACATAGATTGGGCACTTCAGCGGGGCTTTTGTGCTGCTTTTATCTAATAGCTGACTGAATCAGCTGTTAGATAAAAGCCCCACTGAAGTGCCCAATCTATACGGACGTCGTGAAGGTGGGTCAAAGAAACGTGCTGCTGTTTCTGGTAAAGCATGGTTTTTGGTTTGTTGTGTTTTTTGTTTTGTTTTGTTTTGTTTTTTTAAATGTCTGCAAGCAGTCAAGAATTCAATTAATTATATGAACATTAAAAAAATATATTCATACCATGTGACTTGGACTTTTCTGCACTCACTTGTTTATCAAGATGTTTTCTATAGAAATTAGTACAGTATGTATACCTTCAAAAAATTAAAACTATTCCCTTTGTTTTTGACAATTGTAAAAGCAGGTTTTGTGCCTTGACAACCCTCCTGCCCAGGTCAGATGCGTGGGTTTGTTTGTTTTTTGTTTTGTTTTTTTTAAAGATCCCTACAGCGTGACATTTAAAAGTCTATAAAAATCATTTTAGCTGTGCTGTTAGTTGACTAATCGAATAATTTCTTTAAATTTCCTATTATCCTTACTTTGTATATCCTGCCAAAACTATTTTATGAAGAATTGTCTTTGGTGGTGGACAAACCAGATTCAAACCTCTTATTGCAAAAAACTTGTGTTAAAAGGTATTATGCTTCCCCCCTCTCCCACCCAATAATTGTAAATATTTGAGTATTTATTAGATTAGGGCAATATTATTTTCACTATCTGAGCCAAATGCCTGTGTGCAATGTTTCCTTTCTTTTCTTATTATGTTATGTAAAAATGTTGTACAGCATATAAATAAGTAAAAATTACTGTTTTTCTACACTTTTTTTAGAATTGGACTTGGTAAATGCTGTAGATTCCCATTTCTGTGTAATTAATGCACTCTCTACTGTTTTGTAATACTGTAACTTGTAGAAACATTGTATATTTATTTTCTGCTTATTTAAGTTCCTGTAAAGTTTGTTTTTCCTGAATTTACTGGTGTATATATGGAATTAGTGATTGATCAGTTTACAGCATTGTCTTGTTCAGTGCAATCGGTAAAGTCTAGTTATGGAGTAGAATTTTCAAGTCACGTAGGCACAAAGGAGCCTAAGTGCCATTGAGAGTCGGTGGGATTTAAGTTTCTTTTGTTTAGGATTTTGAAAAATATTTCTACTACATAGGCACT